CAGCCACCAGGTGGGAGCAGGGGATCCCCGGATTTTGCGGTCTCCTGCCTGCAACATCCCCAACATGATGACATCGTGCAGAAGTGATGTCATCATGCCAGAGACGCTGCGTGGTGATGCTCTGGTATTTGGGGCAAAGCACAACAGAATATCGTTCAAAATGGTTACCATAGAGTTTTGCCCAAAATACCAAGGCATCGCCATGTGACATCATCACGTTGGGGATGTTGTGCACAGTGACACTGCCCCACCCCCTACTCCCAGAATGCTCCCTCCCACCCACACCGGCAAGAGCAAAAGACCTGGCAACCCTGCACCCCACTGAGGTCCCTGTTCCTCCCCAGGCTCCATCCCCAAATCTCCAGGAGTTTCCCAACTTGTATCTGGCTACCCTGCCACCCTATCCACTGCCGGTGGCCAGGGGGGACCAGGCAACCCTAGGTTCAAGTCTTACATCAGCCACAGACTGGGCCTTGCCAGCCAGCCTCAGCCCCAATGGCTGTCCAAAAGTCAGAAGGGAAAATACAGACAGAGGAAGAGTTCCGACACACAGGGAGCTCCTGGGCTCATCACCATGACCCGGAAATATTAGGCCAGCACAGGTCTAAGATGTAGAATCAGCTGCTTTCAACAAATGTAGCCTTGTTGGCAAAAGAAGTTCCTCTTCACATGGTTAATATCTTCACCAACCTTCCAAGTCCCAAACATGAGCCTCCAGATAGTGGGAATACAAACCCTCTTTTCACCTGCAAAAGTAATCTTACCTGCTAGCCTTCAGACACTTGAACCCCCCTCAGGGATTTTTGACTAAAAGCTTACTTATAACTGAAACTCTTTGTGTGTGTTTTTTAATTCCATCCAGCAAATCATATACCTGTACCAGAAAACTAGTGCATCAATAATGCACACAACAATAAATGTATCAAAGGATGGAAGGCAGAATTAGCTTAGTAAGAACCATGCTACCTCTTAAAATGTGCATTTTCCTGAGCGAGGAATCCATCTTTTACAATCCTACCTGGGGGGGGGTGTCTCAAAAAGGGGCTTTCAAAAGCCTGAAGCCATTGAATGAACTGATCACCGTCCATTTTCAAGAGAAAAGAGCATTGTGCAAACACAAAAGCAGAAGAATTTAAGTCCATGTAAAGTCCTCTTCAGACACAAAAAGGTCACCAACTTCACTCAGTAGCACTACTGTGCATTAATGAAGCCTTCAGTGTTCAGAAACAAAAAGGGAGGGCGCATTAGGCTGCAATCCAATTGTATTTCTTTGCTAGTAATAGCATACCTACCTCTTTCTTTGCCTTCTATTCTTCTAACAGAAGGGGGGGGGAGAAGGATTATCCAAAGAGGGTCTTTTTTTTAGAGAGAGAGCCATTCCGCTTAATAAACTTTTTACCATGGCAGTTAAAAAAAATACAATTGGGGGGGGAACCCCCCCTACCCTACATAAATGTAATTACCACAGTCCCTCCATAGAGGCATACCCTGTAACATGAAGATAAATAGGCAGTGTATATTTCCACACATCACGAAAATCAGAGCAACAAGCAGGTTTCCCAGGGCTGAGTTGTATTGTAAGACGCAGCCAAGCACAAGAAACAAAAAAGACTGGTAAGCAAAGAGAGGTGGCAGCTCTCTTTTCAACTTTTCTTGAGAGAACATGGCTACTGATGCATCACAAACTGGGCTGTTTTCCATGGGGCGGTTGTTTGCTGGGTTCATTCTTTTTGGATTCATGCTTTTTAGAGACAGTCACATCCCCAAATCAACACAACATGATGGATTTCTAAGTCAGTTTTATGAAGCATCTTTGTTTTTCCCAAGGTTTTTAATATGAAGGTCTTTCCACCACTAAGTTCACTCCTTCCTTGGTTCCTTTCTCTATATCTTCCCAGTTCCCTGCTCCTCAGAGCCAGTTCCTATTCTGTTTTTCCCATCCCTCTACCTACCAACCGTGCCCAAGTCTCTGTAGTTCATATTTCAGTTGTGGAGTCCCTCTTCCCTACAGAACTTTGAGTATTCGATACTGAGGGAGAGGACTGCATACAGTGAGCACTAACTTATTTTTTCCTGGTTTGGGCATTGACACTGAAAAGAGGGTCTGGGGCTGATGCAAGGTTGGCAGCTCTGAGTTGGGAAATTCCTGGAGATTTTAGGGTGGAGCTTGAAGAGGAAGGGGTTTGGGGAGGTAGGGGACCTCAGCAGGGTATAATGCCATAGAGTTCACCTTCCAAAGGAGCCATTTTCTCCAGAAGAAATTATCTTTGAAGTCTGGGGAGCTGTTGTGATTCTGGGAGATCTCAAGGCCACACCTGGAGGTTGGCAAGCCTAGTGTGATGGACCAAAGAGCCGTGACCAAAACAAAACTATTGTCTAGAACCTGTGTGATTTTCTTCTCCAAATCATCAAAAGTGTACAAAAGGGGCAAATTCACACCTGAGTAGTCATCGGCTGATAACCACATCCTCCGATGATTGTCACACGTGAAAAAGCCACCACATATTAAATTCCTCTGAAAGAGCTTTCGTATCACCTGACCTCATCGCCTCTAAACACAATACTCTTCAACAGAGGCAGTTCACAGAGATATCTGAATACAGGACAGGTGCTTTTGTTTTCACTACAGCAAAATGCTCAAAAGCAGCTAACTGGGAAAAGACTGAGCTGCTGCTGTTTGGCTGAGGAAGAGGCAACTCAAACACGTACACATCATTCAGCACCAATATTAGGTCTTCTGCGTTTTGCACTCAGAAAATGTTCCAGAGTACAAAAATGCATTTGGGGGGGGGGGAATTCCAGAGCACAAAAAAGGATAAGAAGAAACGGCCATAACAGAGAGCCAGTGTAGCATATGGACCAGGATCTCAAAGACTTGGCTTCAGAGCCCACTCTGCCATGAGTAGGTAGCATTGGTCCAGTCACTCTCTCTCTCAGCCTCACTTAACTCAAAAATTAAGGTCAGGTGAGGAGAATGTGGGGAAGACAGAACCACGTGTCTCACCCTGAGCTCCTTGAAGGAAGAGTGGGATATAGGGTCCTGCACTCTCACTGGTGGGGGGTGGGAGGGCTGTTTCTGGTAGTGGGGGCGGGGCAACATCATTGCATGTTATGTCCCCAACATGATGACATCACACAGAAGTGACATCACCATGCCGGTGACGCTCCAGTATTTTGGGCAAAATTCTATGATTACTACAGAGTTTTGGCCAAAACACGAAAGCATTGTTGCACTTCTGTGTGACATCATCACTCTGGGGATGTCATGCTGGGCCATGGCAGTTGGGGTGGGGCTTCCCCTGCCAGCCAACTGGCTGGCGGCGGACAAGAGTCAGCAAAGTCGGGGGATCCCCCACTCCCACCTGGGGCTGGCAACACTAGTGGGATATAAAGTAGTAGCAGATAGAATGTGTGAGACTCTTCCGCCTCAGAAATCAGAATATTAGTGAACATTCTGTGACATCGCAGCAGCTTATAACCTGTTCTCTTACACCAAAGCACAAATCCCATGAGCTCCTAAATCATCTTGTTCAGGATATTTCAAGCACGCTAGCATAACTCCCCCCTCAGAGAAGGGCTTTGCCAACATGATTACAATCACCCAAATCACATGGGGATCAGTTTCACACAAATGGCTTCCTCTACAGGTCATGTTCTGGTGAAAACAAAGGAACTAGTATAATGTAAGAATGGGCGTTTCCCCCAATGCCTATCCAGGAAGTGGGCATCATAGTCTGCTCTAAGGTATACTAGATCCTTTCTGTGCATGGCTTCTATGCAAGGATAGAAACAGAGGATGGTATTTGTAAGTCTGGTTCTGTCTAAGACCATTGGTTCATTGGATTATAATCATCGGATTTAAAAAATGCTTTTAGAGCCTTTCTGTGGAATACGGCATATTAGGGGCAGACGACACAAAATGTTTGTTCATTTGGTTACACTAGTTTGACTGTGTTCCCTGTAGCCACGTTAGCAGCTGCAGGAAATGGTTTCTTTTTAAAAAAAGAGAGAGCCCAAATGGTCTTGGAACAGCACCACAGAGGGAGGAAGGGTTCCTACCCCCCAGCAGTTTTCTCACATGAAAACCACATGGGGGAATGGTTACTGTGCTGATTTTGCTAGGCATCTGCAATGATAACTAATAACCAAAACAAAACAATTTTGTCCACAACCGAAGCAAATATTATGACCCTTACAAAAGAAATCATTTTACAAATCTGTAAAATATATAAGAGCAACTAATTATAGAGAAAATGTTTTCAAAATGTATCATAGATGGTACTGGTCCCCAGAAAGGTTAGCCAAATGTTACCCAAATTGCTCAAATGTTTGCTGGAAATGTAAACTAAATGTTGGCACCTTCTACCATATGTGGTGGCGTTGTAAAAAAATTCAAACTTATTGGAAAACCATACAAAAACTTATAGAGGAAATCTTGAAAGTAAAATTGGAAATGGTACCAGACATATTTCTACTGAATGTTATCCCAGATAAGTTTTCTTTTAATGAGAAATATGTAATTGCGTATGTAATAACGGCAGCAAGAATACTCTGGGCTAAATATTGGAAACTAGATTGTGTACCCAGATCAGATGAAGTATTGAGTAAACTGTTGGAAGTAGCGGAAATAGATAAATTAAATATGTATCTACAAGGGAAAAATGACGAAGATTTTTTAGATAGATGGGCAGGATTGTACAAATGGTTGGATAAAAAGAGTGGACTCTGAAAATATATGTAATACTGTACAATGAACAGATGTATGTTAAACTTTAAATAAAACTTAAAAAAAAAAAAGAAATCATTTTACTTTATTCTGGAAGATGTTCAGAAAAACCAGGATTAACACATGCATACAAAAAAGGGGGGAATATAAAGGATTTTTTTTTTAATACTATGGACAGCATGCAGAATAAAGATAAAGAATGTATTACAAGACTAAGGTCTGCAGAGTCTGCCGGACCTCTAAAACATACTGATATGGAAAGGAGACTTTGTACCTGAGGTATGATGGAAATTTTCTTCCTCAAGTCGTGTAGCCCCAGTTCTGATGTCAAAAACTTATCAATCCAAATTCTTCCCTGGGGCTCAGCCAACCGGAAAAGAGCAGCTATTAGAGAACTCTTCCCAGCTCCTGTTCTTCCCACAATTCCAACCTCATAGGGGGGGGAAAAAACACACACACACATAACCAGCCAAGCCAGTTTTGACTAACAGGGCATCTTTTCTGAAGCACAATTCACAATCATCTTGCACTGCACATTTTAGATTCTTGTCGGGCACGGTTTACAAGCCACGCGGTAGAAAGACAAGGGAACAAAGTAGTGCAGATCACTAGAAATTATTTGTAAACCATCCTAGATACCTAACGAGTGATATAGAGCCAGCATCAGTCAGACACAAACGATTTCTTCTTCCAACGTGAACTGGATAAAGCAACCGGCATGCCACCCTTCCTGTGAAGCATGACTATCTTGCTGCAGCCGTTTAAACTGAGCTTAACTTTTGTGTCATTTCATATTTATTTCTAATTTATTGTGGCATATCGTGAATCTTTGGGGATCTGGTGGGTCACAAAACACTTCTTTTTTTTTTCACGAGATGGGAATATAATTTCCTTTACCCCACCGACCCTCCAAGCAAATCTCTTGAGTTTTTCCATTAAAGCATGGTGAACCTCTGCTACCTTTTGTCCAAATTCCACGGCACCAGCACAGGTTCTAGCCTTGGCAGACCTCAGCTAATCCCTTCACATTGCCATGCTGCTAAAAAGCAAAATGTATTTTTTACAACATCATTTGGGAGTTCCAGAGTTTGATAAACCACATTATACCAAAACAGAACCCGCTTTTGCAGGGAAAAACCTAGACAAAATGCAAACCCAGCCAGACAACTTTGTACATGGATACAAAGAATGGGTTGGATCCAAACAGTTTCCCCCTGGGTAAAAAGGAGAGAGGGGATCCCATTTGACCACCCAAAAAGGTTATGCTGGGGATCATGGGACCTGCCTGGACAAAAAAACAAGTGGGATGGGATCTGTAAAAGGAGAATAATTGGGTGGATCTAACCCAATAATTTTCTCATTCAGAACACTTTTAGGGCCAAAACAGGTGTGAGCACATCCATTTTGCCCTCAGAGCAATTCCCAAAGTATGTGTTTTCAGAGATAAATGCAAAGTCCAAACTACCTCTCACAGCAGTGGTTGGCCATTGTAGGTTTCCTGCTCCAGTCTGGCTTAATAGCTCACCGTTGGGAAAAATCCCTCTTCCTTGATCTCTACACTGAGAGTCACTGGACCATTCAGTCATTCCCACTACAAAACATGCAGCAGGTATACTTGTCCTTAAAAGGAAGGCCATGTGTAGAATCTCTGCATGTTACATTTTAACTTTCAATATGGTGGAAAGTCCAGAACACCCAGAAATGGGGGGCCTCCTCTGGGGTGAATAGTTCTCATTTATTCAAGTATAACATGAAGTCTTAAGAACAGCTTTAACACAGGAAAGGGGAGACAAGATCCAAGCAGCAGTTACTTATCCAATGCTCAGCAGAAATGTAAACTTCTGCCTTCCCTCAGTATCATATCCTGATAAGATGGACAAGAGGAGGGTGATGTAAGCTGCTTTGGGTCTCCATAGGAGAGAAAGGTGGGGTATAAAATAAATATATAACAGATAATTATCACAAATGGCCTTTGACACTTTCTTCAGTTTTGAGAACTACCTGCACACAGCTTGGGGGGGGGGGAGTTATTGTTTAAGAACTCCCCAAATTCAAAGACTTCCCGGAGTCACTGAGCTGAACTGTTCTTGGTCATGTATCACCTGAAAGGTAGAACTTAAACCATTTACATTTTTTTAAGCCATTTTCTTTCCAAATACCAGTTAACAGGGAAAACAGCGATCTGAAAGTGCTTAGAAATGCCCTGTCTGAAAAACTGAACTTTAAGTGACAGTTCAGACGTTATTTCCTCCCACTACTGTTGTGTGGTCAAGAGATTATTGAACAGATTTTGGTCCCCATGTGCAAGTGAACAATCAAACCAGAATATCCCATATTGATTATGGGCACTCCTTGATAGTATGAGATTAATCCTTCCTTGGACAAATCCCCCTATACAACTGCTGTCTCTTTAAATTTTGCTGAATAAGATCAAAACCAACAGTCACTTAAAATAATATATGAAAATAAAATTGTATTTTGTCCAGCTATGGCTTTAAATGTAAATTAACAGGAAAGGCGGACAAGGACTAGGACTTCAGAAAAAGTATTTAGTAGAGTGGCTTTTCTTTCCGAAACATGGATCAAAATTAAAAAATGGCAAGGAAACCAGGAAAAAAGGAGAAGAAAGCAAAACCGTCTATCTATGCAGAGTTCTGCATAAGAACAAAAGAGTTCAAGTGTTTCCTCTGATGTCACTCATGTACAGTAGGGTATTAGCTGCATAAAAGTCCTTTATAAAATTGATACTTAAAATAAATATGCAGCTGCTCTGTTCATTGTCAAATAAAACCCCTTCTTCCTTCAGGCTGGCATCCAATGGAAAAGAGCACACTGAGTGTGTCAGAAGATGCTCTATCATTTGGGGCAAAGTGGTTGACAGTGAAAAGCAACAGGGAATTTAGGATGGCGCAACACTTCCCCTTGTCTCAACGTACAGCATTATCTACCCCCGCTATCTGATCACATCTAGGCTGACTATGGCAGCCCTCTCTAAGTGGGGCTGCCTTGAAAATCTGTTCAGACACCTCTGTGAATGCAGAATGCATGCATGCAAAGACAACCGCCAGACAGGAACAGTTCTCACAAGCTCTGCAAGAGCTTTAGTGGCTGCAGATGTGTTTCTGAGAACTGTTCAAAAGGGTGCCCCTCAAAGCCCTCGATGGACTGGGACTGGGGCCGACCCAGGTGAGGTCCTGGGAGTTGTGCGTCAAGCGCTCCCAGTGCTTTTATTATTTTTCTTTATCAGGTGCACAGGACCCCGATCCAGATCAGGACCTATGTTCCCTCTAAGTTGCGGAGTTTTGTGAGCAGAAATTCTACTTTGTGAGTTACTGGCAGAAAAGTTGTGAGCAGGTGATTTGGCTACTGCATCAATTAGTTTGCTCTGGAGGCTCTAGACTGGAGCCCCCCTTCCTGAGCTAAGACAAAAATGTGTGAGCCGGAGACTAAAAAGCTGTGAGCTGGCTCACACTAACTCAGCTTAGAGGGAACACTGATCAGGACTACGGCACAAAGCCTCCCCCGCGTGCCATTTTCCCCAATCTAAAATGGCCACAAGGACCTGCTCATTTCTTCACTCCTGGAGCTATTGGGGCTGGATGAGGAAGTCCATACAAAAACTTTACCCCTCTAGCTTACTTTCTTGGGCATGCAGTTGGACTTCTAGCTCCTGGACCTGGGACCTTCCGTCTATCTATTCTAGCAGCACTCATGGAAATGGTGGTGGGATTATTACTGTATGCTGTGTTGGCCTGGGGTGAGGTGGGGAGAGACGTCGCATTCTGACAACAATCCCTATGAGGTAAGTGTAATGGATGGCCTCCAGTTTCACCCTTCAGGCTCCCCAGCAAATCCCTGCCTACAGGGAGGGTATGCAGATATTAAGCCGCATCGGCCAATGAGAGACTGCCATGGGGTGTGGGGGGGGAGTTAAGGGGAGGGAAAGGAGGTCATTGCCTCAGACAGGGCTTGGAGAAGTGACAGAGAAAAAGGGGAAACCACCAGGAGAAGTGGAGGGTGAAACTAGTGGCCGTCCATCACAATAGGTCTGTCTTTATAATGCCACCCATGAGGGGATGGGAGGTGGCTAATCTGAAAGCCACTTTACAATTACTTTGAGAGGTAAATCTGACGGGGTGTGGGGGGGGGGATGTCCTGATTCACAGTTCAAATTCTTTGCTACTAACAGCTCCACCCTAGGCAGACTTTAAGTGTACCTTAACCCACCGACATTAATGGGTTTAAAGCCATGCCCACCTCTGCAAACTCAACGCTGGGTGGAAGCTCCCTCTGGATATTAGCGTGGTCATCCCAGAAGCTGAAGTGGGAGGGGGCTGAAGGGCAGAAGACTGGCCTTCCCTCGCCCTGACCTGGATAGCCCAAGCAAGCCCAATCTCATCAGATCTCGGAAACTAAGAAAGGTTGATTCTGGCAAGTACTTGGATGGGAGACCTCCTTGGAATTCCAGCAGTTGGGAGGACGGGGCAGGCTTTATTCAGCCACCTCTCTGAATATCCTCCAGGCCCCCAGTAGGGGTCAGTCACCAGAGGTCGCCATGACTTCCAGGTGCACTCAGATGCATATACACACATATACACAAGAAAAAGACAAAATAATAATAATAAAAAAGGACTGGACTTCCCTTTTTCCCTGGGTCAACATGGCCATGAAATAGGAAGAGGGAGGCTATCCCAACTCCCCCCCCCCATATATACAAGTATTTTGCATATGTAGAATCAGGGCCAGATTTAGACTTGCTGAGGCCCTAAGCTATACAAAACCCAGAGGCCCCCTACTGTTTTAAATTACATCAGCTGGTCTCAGAAAAATTTAAAATATATACGCCTTTTTAATATTTGAAATCATTTTTATATTGTGTTTTTATTCGAGGCCCCAGCAGATTGCGAGGCCCTAAGCTGTAGCTTATTTAGCTTATGCATAAATCCGGCACTGTGTAGAATAGCAATATGGGGGAGAAATAAGCAGATCTCATATTATATTTTTATAAAAATATGCCAATTCATAGTCCAGCAAGGCTTCTAGATAACCATGACAACAAAAAGAATATTTCCCTCTATCTTTACAAGCTAGGCCATGGGCAGGTTTCTTAGCAGAGGTAGGTAAGTGTGGAATGCAATCCATACAACTTAATACTCAACTAAAAAGAAAGGGGGGGGGCTATATCAAGATTTAGAAAGTGTTTCAGGGGGCACAACCCTGCTTTATGGTGGCAAGGCCAAGAGCACTATCACTCAAGCAAAAAAAAAAAAAAGAAAGAAAAGAGGGAAAACCAAAACAGCAAGCGGTGTTGAGCTACCGTCTACGCAACGTTTTCTCTCTCCCCTCTCGTGTTTCATCTTTTATTTTGTTTGTTTCTTCCCGTGAAATGTAAATCTTCTTATCCACTATTAGAACGGCTTATTACCACTGCAAGAGAGCTGGCCCAAAGGCAAGAGGAAGCATAAAAAAGATAAACAGACGCACTGCATAAAAACCTCAAGAGCTTCAGCTCCCGTCTTTTTCATGCAAAGCCACCTCAACTACAGTAAAAGCCAAGATGATTATTTCTCCCCCTCTGGAAAAAAATAATTCTCTTTCAGAATTTAATTAGGTGGATGAGAAAGCATTTTAGAATCATGCCAACAACGATCACAGAAAGTACCCAATGGCACATCTAATCCAATCCACAATCTAAGAAACGATATCCTACTGTGCCCCTCCCAAATCCCTACCAGATGCCTGCCCAACTTCTTACTGAGTATAACCAATGCATGGGGGGGACTCATACAGGGTCCAGACATCCTATTGGATTGCTGAACTATTCTTAGTTGGTTCTGTCCTTAAGGACAGGTAGGATGGGAACACCTCCTTGCCAGACAAGACCCGGACAAATCTTCTGTTCCTTCTCTGTTGCAGGTTTTTACCCTGGGGACGAGCCAAAGGACCCTTGAGCCCCGTGGGGCCCCCTGCTTGTGGTGCAAAGCAAGATGAACTAGTGAAACCGGTACCACCCCAGGGAGTTGAAGCACCTCACTATATATGCCTTTGTCTATCTGTCATTTTTGCATTTTGTAAACCTGCTTCAAAACACAAATTCTAAAAATAAATTTGGGAAGTCTGTCCTGAACTGGATGGCCCAGGCTACCTTGATCTGGTCAGATCTCAGAAGCTAAGCAGGGTTGGACCTGGTTAGTATTTGGAGGGGAGACCACCAAGGGAAGTCCAGGGTCACTATGCAAAGGCAGGCAATGGCAAATCACCTCTGAACAACTCATGCCTTGTAAAGCCTACGAGGGTCGCCATAAATTGGGCACAACTGGATGGCACTTCACTCACACACACACACACACACACTCTTTGCTGAGCAGTCCATGTCTGTGCACAAAGATGCACACCAATGTACATCCTCTACTCCAGCATCTACCCCCCCCTGAATTATTGTTTCCAGAAAATTAATATACATATAATACCACATCTGAAGACTAGGGAAATATGGAGACACTTTTCACTAGCAATAATTTGGTTTGGATCCAGGAAGTATGAGGTTGCAACTTCTTATGCATTGTGGAGGTGGGGCTGTCTACAGCTTCTCCTTTCTGGTAGCAGGTCTCCCACACCCTAGTTTGGACACCTCCAGACTATTTTCTCACGTGACACAAGGAGAGAAGGAGGAGGAGGAGATTGGATTTATCCCCCGCCTTTCACTCGGTGTCTCAGAGTGGCTTACAAAGTCCTTTCCCTTCCCCTCCCCACAACAGACACCCTGTGATGTAGGTGGGGCTGAGGGAGCTCTTTTCAGAACTGTCCTTGAGAGAACAGCTCTGACAGAACTCTGGCTTGCCCAAGGTCATCCAGCCAGGTGCAAATGGAGGAATGGGGAATCAAACCCGGTTCCGCGCACTTAACCACTACACCAAACTGGCTCTTTCTGGACTATAGAATTGCCCCTCCCCCACCTACACATTCATGGATACATGCTTTGGACACGTACATGGGGGCTTCTGGTACCAAGCCAAGCCTGTACATAACACCTATTCACCCACACACTTCTCTCTCATGCACACCATTCAATTCATACGCAAATACATATTGCATTCGATCACCGTTTTGGCACCCTGTTCACACACTCTGTTGTCACTACTGCTTCAATAGACCTACTCTTTTTCCACCAATAGCTCAGCCTCTTCTCCCCTTTAGACTAACACAGCCATGAAGGGAGGGGTGTATATGTAATTTCTAAGCTCTTGTGATATCACAGGACCTCAGCCAATGGCTAAGGGAGACATGGAAGACCGGAGGTCTAGGTTACCTCAGGTTTTCCACAACACATGGGCCAAAACAGTGATGTTTGCACATGGGGAAAGTAAGAATCAAAAGAAAACTGGAATACAATACTTAAATTCTTAAGTCTTCATCCTTGAAGGCAAAGTGTGTTGCTGTTTATGGTTTTATATCTAAATACAGCCAAGACACGAAGGAAATCGGATTACGTTACTCTTGAGATCCATTTCAGCTCTATGTCACACAAGTAAGTCATCAAATGCATACCTTCTCTTTTGACTTGATTAAAGCAGATAAATGCCTCAGCACCAGAGGGCCATCTAAGCTGTAAGTGAAGCTCACGTTTTCAAACGCTATAACACCTTCCGTTGGCCACTGTGGGGGTGGGTGTTTGTCGGACTCCCAAGGAGCTTCCTTCTCAAGCTCTGTGTATTCCAGTACTCTTTCTACTGAAATCATCTGGGGGGCGGAAAGAAGAAAGTCACTTTAATTAGTGTATATTAACCGACGTCAGCACCAGTGCAAGTACAAAAACTGACAGAGAATATTTTTTTTGTACCCAGGATTAGACCTTAAAATAAACAACCATTCAACTGGAATGATTTCTACGTCTCTCCGGAACCTTCCCCTCCACTGCATCTGGTGGTGGTGGAAAGTGTTATCAGTTCACAGCCAACTTTATGGTGACCCCATAGGGTTTTCAATGGAAGAGACACTCAGAGGGGGTTTGCTATTGCCTGCCTCCCCATAGTGACCCCGGACTTCCTTGGTGGTCTCCTATTCACATACTGATCAGGGCTGACCCTGCTTAGCTTCTAGAACTGATGAGATTGGTCTGGACCCAGCCATCCAGGTCAGGGACGTAACGTACTACTTTATACAGATTTTGCTACTCTTCCAAGCAACTATTTCCAAATTTCATACCAAGGGACATGTTACCTGTTAGCTGACTAACAAAAAAGTTACCCAATCTCTAGGGCTTGGAATTGTAGACATAATTTTCCCCACCCAGCCCACCATTTTCCCCACCCACTTCAGCATCACTCCATTTTACAGATACCAAACGGAGACAGTCCTAAAGACCTGACACCATCTGAGTGGTCCACAGAACAAAGTTTGAGTCCAGTGGCACCTTTAAGACCAACAAAGCTTTTCTGGCTATAACATTTCATGTGCACATGAAAGCTTATACCCAGAATTAAACTTTATTGGTCTTAAAAGTGCCACTGGACTCAAACTTTGTTCTATTCCCATTGTAAATTAAGAAACCGAAAGTTTAATTACCACAAATATGACGGCCAAATAATGTCATCTAAAAACATATAACATAAATATGGAAGAAAGCCAAACTGGCCGAAACGCATATGGCCTTGATCACATGTTTTCTGTTTGGTACCTATGTATGATTTTATCTTCTTTTGAGGCTATTATTGGGCCTATAACCTGTTTTTACCTAATTTGTAATAAATACATGTATTTTAGTATATTTGATAATATCTATGCAACATGTTTTTAACTGACATTATCTGGCCCTCATATTTGTGGTAATTAACATCTTGGTTTCTTAATTCAACTTGTTTGGGTTACGTTTTCCTTCACCTCTTTTTGTTCCCTATTACCATTTTTAAGTCAGCAGGCTGAGAAGACCAGAGGAGTAACAGCTGCAGCCGCAGTGGCAGCTGAGGTTCAGGAAACGCCCCATTTCCCCCTCACGTCTTAGCGCTCCTTCCCTTACGTCCAAATAGGAGCCTCCCTAACCGCACTGGATGCTTCCATTTTCTCTCCAAGTGGCTGGCCACTGGCATGAGGAGGGGAGAGGTGGCTAAGGGAAATTGCCTCTGAGTGGGAAGAAAATTCAAGTTCAGGGAATGGCAATCCTGACATAAGAAGTGGGGCCCATGTTTTGCCCTCAGTTTAACAGTGTCACCAACTTCAACATCTGTTTGCTCTCTGTGGTGATAAATGGCTCTCATTCTTGTTGACAGGAGTAAATAAAGAACAGCCTGACATACTGATGAGCAGTTTGCTACTAAGTAAATAAGGCACATTAGTGTAATCTGGGAAGGGACAGGAATCTGACAGTCTGGATTGCCACATTTTACAGACATGCACAAAGATCAGCTGATTGTTTCTAACACTACCTGAATGATGATTATGCACATTTAAGTTTCCATTAGGCTGAAGAAAAATTATCGTCAGACAAAGACCTTTAAGCAAGTAATGGCACTTCTCTACAATGCCCAAAGAACATTTGACAGGCTATCTGGACTGTTTTCAGACTATAGAACAAAAGGGTGTAAAGGCTTCAAAAAGGAACAAATGAATAATGTTACCAAGTTTTCAATTTCAGCGCTCTGTCGAACTCCCCACTGAAACATTCCCATGAGAGTGATTGCATAGGACAGCGCTAGACCGACTTGCCCTGCGTCTAGAGCTACAGGACGAGAGACAAGACACATTTTTCAAAACATGTACAACTTCAGAATAATTTGTTTTACTGTTTAGTAAAGTAGTTTATGCAAAACTGAACAAACAGAGCTTCAAAAAGTATTCAGTACAACTCTAGCTGTGCAGTCAAAATAGATTTGGATATTCTTTAGAGTATTCGCTATGGCTACAGCAAGATGAAGGTGATACAAAAGTACAGAACAGGTCATTTATATCTGGAGAACCACAGTGATTTTTGGCTTCCCCAAATCAGATTAACACAACACTCCCCAAACCCTGAGAGACAATGAGCTGACAATTCCAGAGGGGTTGCCATGTTAGTCTGTCCAACCTCACCCCGCCCCCAAATTAAACAAGAATCTAACAACACTTTAACAACATTTATTCCAGCATAAATTTTAGTGAGTCAGAGCTCATATGAAAGCTCAGCAGCTGAAGGTTGTAAAAACTCTGGTTTCCATTGACTGAAAAGAGATCTTCCGAGCAACTAGCCAGTTGCTGAGGTATTATGGAATGTTGAGGAACATTCCAACTTCATATGCTTAAAAACAGTCGGAAGAACAAGTCCTGGCAACAGATGGGACTGAGTGCTGTTTCTAGGAAAGAGTTCAGAAAACAAGAAAACAGGCAACGCTTGGATGTGCTGGCTGATAGTACGTATGAAGGCCAAACAAGAGAGTGTGTGTATAAATACATGAGCACTGTATGAGAATGGAGAAAATACATGCAACTGAACATGACAGAATGAAGGGGAGTGTACACACAGACACACTTGCAAAAAAGTGAATTTATGAGGGTCTCCACTTAATATTGAAACTTCAATACGAACATAAACGTTTTTAAACAAGTAGTCCCTCCTATGATGTCTGACTAGTAAGCAAACACGAACACTCCTGTGTCAAAAACAGTTGGGTCAGAAGTAAAAATGTAAATGTATAAAAAAGAGTAAAAAACCCCCTTTTCTTAAGTTAAAAAAAAGTTTTAAAAAGTTTTTAAAATGTTTAAAAAAGTTTTTAAAAAACCACCTTTGCAAACTAGAGTTCTGACTATCCCTAAACCTCGTACTTGATAGAGTAATGGTATTTTGTACCTCCTTCCTCAGCCTCAGACAAACCCAACTTTTCGAGAATTAATCTGCTGAGGACACAAAAGGCTAGGTTAGGGTCAGGCTCACTTGAAGTATTTAGTTTGACAGATTGAGCAGGTATGAGAGAGGCCTGGAGCCTTGTGAAAAAACCTGAAGTCTACTTGCTTATTCGTTGTCAAACTGCTAGATACCTAGGCCTCAGAGAGATAGATCAATATCTAAAAATAAGCATTTCACTCAGACGCTGGCGCTTACAACAATCAGAGGAAATGGAAGATTTGTTTCAATTACCGTGAATCTTCCTTCTTGGTGGTCAAGGGGTGGGACAGTCTTCACTTCAGGGATATAGCTCCTCCTCCGCAGGCAGGCAGGGTTGTCAATCTTTGCGATCCTGGAGGGGAGGGGCTTGTCCCTGAAGTTTCTAGTCCATTTCCCTCTTCAAACAACCAGCATCTCAAAGGAAACAACATTAGGCAAAACTCCCTAATTAACTACTAAAACCAACCGCAAAAGGTGGAACTGCTCCAATTCCAGAACAGAAAAACGCTAGTGGAGATGGCCCAGCCACCCTCTAGTCTACTGAGCTGAAAAGGGTTAGGGATACGGTCCTTCATCATGGGGAAGTTGCTCCAGACCCTTTTTCTACACTCCAAAATGCTGATGTCATTTAAAAAACTCAGTGGACCAAGAGTCCTGTGCCATTTTCCCTGGTGCGTGGGGCCCCGTCCCCCCAACTGGAGAGACTCGCATCCATTCTCATCACGGCTCTTCTTGGTTCCCATGTGGCATTCCCTCCTAGAACCTAGGGGGGGACAAACCGCCACCCGAGTCCTAGGTTTAGTGAAGCTGGCAGCTGAAAAAACCCTGAACCTCTTGTTGGCCATTGCATTCTGGTAAGAGAGTGGAAATCTCTGAAGCAGACAGATGTGGAAAGCTGAACCACTGAAGAGCATTCTGGCAAGGAACCATCATTCCCCAAAGTCTTGTCAGAGACATCCGGTCCATCTAGGAGCTCTGAAGGGCCTCATAAACTGTAGTTTGGAGCTATCTCCTGTCTCTCTGATGACCGGTAGACCTTGTCCTGAGAGGTGCCTATGAACATTCCCCGGTGAAAGTCTGCCTGTGCCTAGTGCAGATGCTCTGCTCCCAATTTAGCACGAAACCGGATTCCTGTGGCCAGGCCAGTGTCCGGTTCACACTCTCCATATCTTGTTGTAGGGATGGTTCCATGATGACAGTTAGACCTTTTGATCACGACAACATCCAGTTAGGGGGAAAACAAATGTGACACCACTTGGTTCCTCATGCATGCCACCTGGATTCTCCTTGGTTCCCCCTGTGAAGTGAAGAACCTCAATTCCGATGGTGGACTCCCTTGGCATTAGGAGCCACCCCAGAGAAAAATCAAGTGGGCAAGACTGTCCCACCCCTGGACCACCAAGAAGGAAGATTCACGGTAATTGAAACAAATCTTCCATTTCCTCTGATTGTTGTAAGCGCCAGCGTCTGAGTGAAATGCTTATTTTTAGATATTGATCTATCTCTCTGAGGCCTAGGTATCTAGCAGTTTGACAACGAATAAGCAAGTAGACTTCAGGTTTTTTCACAAGGCTCCAGGCCTCTCTCATACCTGCTCAATCTGTCAAACTAAATACTTCAAGTGAGCCTGACCCTAACCTAGCCTTTTGTGTCCTCAGCAGATTAATTCTCGAAAAGTTGGGTTTGTCTGAGGCTGAGGAAGGAGGTACAAAATACCATTACTCTGGTTTAAAAGGCAGCATGATCTCTGACACTATCAAGTACGAGGTTTAGGGATAGTCAGAACTCTAGTCTGCAAAGGTGGTTTTTTAAAAACTTTTTTAAACGTTTTAAAAACTTTTTAAAACTTTTTTTTAACTTAAGAAAAGGG